CAAATTCCATTCACTTAATAATTTTCAAAATTTCCCTGACAATTTCGTGTTGTGTACCGTCACTTTAAACAATGTATTTTATATAAAATTATAAAATATAAAAATTAAGCCATATTGTTAAAGCTGACATAAATAGGGTCATTTACCTTATGTCTAATCTTAAAATTGATAAAAAGTACTATGACTGATGTATGCGCGGGGAGAAGCTGCCATCGGCATCAATTTGCTAAGTACATATAATTTTTATTTGGATTTATTGTTTGTTTATAAATTAATTTTAGATTATTTAATACTTTTTAATCAATGCGTCAAATATTTTCTTGTTGTTTGAGCTAGGGTTGCCACCTGTCCTTTTTTTTCAAAAGGTCAGTCCTTTTTTTTTAAGAAGTCCTCTTTTTTCAAAAGGAGTCCTTTTTTTTTAAAAGATGAGTCCTTTTTTCAAAAGGACAGTTGTTGGGAATATTTACCAGCAATTGACGGATTTGCAATAAATGGTTTATTAATTTGTAAATACACAAGTAACTCAAAGTACTCAAATTCCTAAAATAACTTAAATGAAAATATAAAACTAACAAATTTCCTATTACTTACTGTTCCTTGCTGTGCTTAATATTCCCTTCTTATATTATTTGACAATTTTATTATTTTTGATTAAAACCTAGCTCATAAGATCTTAGAAACAAAACAAGGTAAATAAAATACAGGGCGTTAAAAACAATTTTAAAAACATATTAACATTAATCGCAACAAACAAATTGTCCTTTTGACTTTTTAAAGTTTAAAATGTCTATTTTTATGCCACATGTCATTTAACAGGACCTGGGTTAAATAAAAATATAAGCCAAGGACCTTTTTTTTTTCGAATCTGGGCAAAAATATTTTAAACAAATATCTGTCATCACCGTTGTCCTTTACTCATTTTTCAAAAAGGTGGCAACCCTAGTATGAGCTCAATAAAGATGGCAAAGCATTATGCAATTGCGGTCTGTGCTAGTCTCGAGTGCGCGCGGTGAAGTTCTTTCCCATATTTTATATTTGCACTATCTTTTCCATAGAATTTAGGGAGACCACGCACGCTCGAGACTAGCACAGCCCGCGATACAACCGGATCTTGATTGGCTGATGCGTTCTCACATCAACAATGTAATATCGGTTGGAAAGAAACAGGCTGGATCTAATAATTTATTAAATTATAAAAATAATAATAAAAATATGAGTACATTGGCGTAAAAATGGAGGGATCAAAGTTGTCTACTGAGAGCGTGCATTTGGATATATTTCCATAATTTAGATTGTTAAAATGATACTTTCTTAAAGGGCAAATTATATTAGGCCGTTTTTGATTTATGGAAAACTTTTATTTGTGATTTTTATAATTTAAACATCCTATACAAGGTATGTCATAAATTCTTCTCAGATAGATTACCAAAAAATAAGTAGATTTGGCTATATTTACCTACATCAAAAACTGGCTCCTACAGGGCGTTAAACTAACATTAAAAAAAAAACTCTTTTTTTTTTTGTAAAAATTTTCTGATTTTTTCTTTTAAATTTTTGCCAATGCTGTAGATTTGAAGACATAAAGAAACTTGCTTTATCGATCTAAAAATCAAAAAGAACTATGAATTTTTAATTTTTTTTTATAGCGAAATGAACTTTGTATCTTTCTTTTAGTTAACGAGCTATTTTCAGTTTTTAAACTGAATTTCTAGAGCAATTCGTCCGTCCTGGACTTAACATATCAACAAAACTAAGAGTAGGTCAGGAGTTATTGTACAAAAAACGCATATAAAAATCAGTGGTGTGCCTAGGACTTGAGCCGCCCCTGCAAAACATCTGTCATTTATATTTTTTGTAAAAAAGGTATTTATAATATTGGATTGGTACCATAAAAATGGTGTGCTACCCATCCTCATGAGTTCACCATGCCACTGATAAAAATAAACTTTAGTTTGAAAATGTATTTATCAAATTTAATAGTAATTAAAAAAATATTTTTTTAATTAAACAATTAACAATTAAAAACAAACACTTGACAATAATTATTATACACATATTATGAACTATTTAATTTAGTAAATATTCAACATGTCCTCCTTCTTCTTTAATACAAAAATATAAATTAAAGAGGTAGTTTTTGCAGGGGCGGCTCAAGCACAGCCCTAGACACACCACTGATTTTTATATGCGATTTTTGTATATAATAACTCCTGACCTACTCTTAGTTTTGTTGATATGTTAAGTCCAGGACGGACGAATTGCTCTAGAAATTCAGTTAAAAAGGTTCTTGTAAAGGATCCTGTAGTGCGAATTTCATAATTTTAGCATTAATATATTGAAGTAACTTACTTTTTATAATATTTTAACTGAAATTAAATATGGAAGAATACGTTTAATTTGCTATTTTCATTTATATTATAATAAAATGCAATATTTTGACCGATTTAACCTAACTTTTCATTATTTCCTTCCATAAAACCTAAAATAAAGTGATTCATAAAATTGTCAGTTCTTGACACATACGGTCCTCGAGTTTGCAACGTTGCCATACTATATTGTTGATTTTTATCACTGATAATTTCCAAGTTTAAGATTTCTGTTTGAATGAGAAGAAAAGAAGAAAATATATTTATTGGTTATATGTGAATTACAAAGCAAATATAATTATTGGTTATAGGTTAATTACAAATCAAATATTAAATATATTAATAATTATTACTTTGTTGTGTTTGTATTTGTTAAAAATGGATAAAAAAAATATGATTGATGTTGTGGACATTTACAAAAAAACAGATGGGGAATTGTTATCATGGTTAATGGACAAAAACCAGAGTACATAGATCAGTTTATGTGGGAGGAGATATACGGTAGTGATGCTAATGCGAAAATGCATAATTTGCTTACGCAAATTACGGAAAAATATTAATTTTTTTTTATTTGTGAAATTATTTGTTTATTTTTAGAATTATTTATTTGTTGTTCTACTTTTGAGACTTGTTTATTTTTTAGAATTATTTATTTTTTGGTTTAATTACATGAGAATTATTTGTTTATTTTTTAGTTTTTTTTTTTATTTTTAGAATCATTTATTAATTTTTAGGAATTTTTGTTTATTTTTTGCAAATATATTTTATATAATTTATTTATTTATTTATTTATTTAATTGAGTCGCTATGGCTCTAGGAGGAAGCGGTATTCGTAGTAACATATCCATACTTACGCATACGCAGATGATAATACGAAAATATAATGTGTTATGTAAGACTTTTCATTTCAATTTGAGCTGTGCCCAGGCCGTTGGAGTCTATGGCCTTGGTTTCTTTGAACACTCCGTCGCGGTGAGCGGACAGTCCGTCGACCGCTGAGGACAGCAATTTTCGCCCGAGGTGGTTTGTTAAAAAATATAGAAAATGATACTTTCTCTATGTCTGTACGTGCTGTTTATGTATTATGAATGTAAAAGAAAGGTACTAAAATGGATGCAAATAAATTGTTTGCGTTATTATTGTTGGAAGAGGAAGAACAAGAGGAACTGGCAATTGCAACCGTCAAAGTTTTCAATAAGCCAGTGGATGAGTCGTTTTTGTGTCGCGATACAGAAGGTACCTTTAATATAACTGTGCAGCGGAGGCTTTTTGGAAATGAAATCAAATTTAGGGAGTATTTTAGACTTTCTACAGATCTTTTTGAATTCGTGTTGAGTTTTATAAAGGACATAATTTCCAAGAAACCTAAAAATAAAGTCATGATGTCATCTGTATGTGTGAATTTGTCACTCATTGTTTTAAAATTAATAACAATATAGTCTCCGCACACGCCGACGATTCCGCTGATATCAAACTCAACAGATATCAACCGACTATTCGCGACAAATCAGCGGCATGACGCCGTCCTGCTCCGCTAAGCGGATTCAAGAAAACCATTCCCATTTAAATACTATGGTTAGATAAAATCGTCAAAACGCGACGGTTGACGGACTGTCCGCTCACCGCGACGAAGTGTTCAAAGAAACCAAGGCTTTAGCCGGTAGGCGTAGCCAGGTATGGGTTTAAAAATTTTTGGTGGCGGCGAAGCCGCCACCCTACGGGAAGCCGTTATTTAGTTTTGAGTGAAAGAAAATTTTAAAAAAGTTGTCTAGGTATTACATGTTAAGTGATTTAATTAATTTCACTTTTTAAGTATGTAGGTATGTAGTTTTTTTAAGCTGCATTTTTAAAATTATTTTTTTCATTTTATATACGTTTATTACCGTACTTATCTTTTTGAAGCAAACGAAAAATGTATTATTTTTGATTACTTCTTTTTTATAATCTCATAATTTATAAATTTTAAATAATCCTTAAACTTATAATTTTATTAACAACTTGGCAACGTTTGTTATTTCTAAGACATCAACTGTCATTTAGAGTAATTGTTTTGTGATTATAAACTGTAAAATTGGGATTTTTAATTAATTTTTTTTTTTTCGAAAAATACTGCTTCATCCATAATTTTTTTTTTTTGAAAATTTACTATAGAAACTAGTTACTTTTGAGTGTTTAAAATTTTTTTGTGAATTTCGCACCACAGGATCATTTACCGGACCCTCTACAGCACTGGCAAAAATTTCAAAGAAAAAATCGCAACAGCAAACTTTTTACAAAAAAAAAAAAAAAAAAAACGTTTTTTTGAATGTTAGTTTAACGCTCTGTAACTTTGTTAGGAGCCAGTTTTTGATATAGGTAAATATAGCCAAATCTGCTTATTTTTTGGTAATCTATCTGGGGAAGAATTTATGACGTACCTTTTTGAAACACCCTGTATATCTAAAACTAATCGGGTATATTCTAAATAATATAAATATGGAGACGATCATAGTTTAATTATTTTATTAAATCAAATCATATGATTAATTTTATTATTAACACTTAAAGTGCATCAAAACACCTATATGTGACGCATTATATTAATTATGATAAAAGCTTAAGTTAACATCGCAAATGAATGAAATGTTTACCTACCTTATGAACCCCTCGGAGAATAGCCCGGGAAAAGCCCAATACAAAAATCCCAAAAAAATCGTAAACTCCAATATAGCTTCCATAGTCCAAGCCACAAAAATACCACTCAAAACCATCATGTCAAAAATAAAACACGAAAATCACCACAAAAAAATAAAGTCAACCCATATATAAATATAATAATTCAAAAACGAAAAAACCGTTCATTAACTATCTTAAACAGAACCATACCCGATGCTATTTTGTCTAGCATCTGTCAACGAACTTACGCGCGGCACGCCGAGATTTCGAATGCCACCCTCCGAAAAAACAACAAACCAAACTTTAGTGGATGCAGCGGGTAAATATGGATAACAGCAATAGCGGACGCAGGAGCGAACAAAAACAATCGACGAGCGTTGCAACGCACCGACTTGACTGTCGTAGTCGTACGTATTTTAAAATGTAAATGATCTCTACCAGCCTTGCCTGGCTTTGCCACACACTATTGCATTCATGAAATGGAATTGAAAGAAATAAAATGTGAGCGGTCTTTATTCACCGGTAATTCTATCTTTGTTTCTGCGATACGGTAATTTATTAACAGATCCGTATTTTGCCCAACGCACATTCACCTTACATTTAGAGCGGCGATGGCGCTGTAAAAAAATCGTTCTATTTAAGGCTCGAGAGAAAGAGAGATGCGTCTTTAAACGTACGTTGCCGTAACTACATCAAAGCGGTAAAAACACACATCCGATGAAACGGGAAAGTCTCATTTGTTTTTATTCTATTTAACAAAAAAAAATCGGACGTGCTATAGAATTACCACAAATGTACATAAAAAATGAAGAGTTTAATGATTTCTCATAGAAGTCATTATTAAATCTTTACCAAATATATATGGGACCACCCCTGAGTTACCCTCTTTCTAACACAAATAGAATCATATAAATCGGACAAGGTGATAAAAAATTATATTCCACGCCTTGTTCTCAATCATCGTAGGTAGTACCCCCTTTTTCCCCATCTGTGGTCACGTATTTTAAAGTCTAAATACCCTCAAAAGTATTTAGAAAGTTCCAAAATAACAACTAGTCGTGCCAGTCCTTTCCACCTCTGCTCCCATCCCGTTGGTATTCAGATAAAGTCTTACATTCTTTCTTTTCGTGCACAAGTGGTTACACGTAATAGTATATTACATTACGAGTGTAAAAAGTGACATTTTTCACACGAGTGGGAAATATTGTCGCACGAAGCACAAGCCGAGTGCGACTATCACACGAGTGAAAATCACTTTTCACACAAGTGATGTACAATATTTTTCCTACGACCACAAAATAATTTCATCAAAAAATGTAAAACCAGGTTATTATTATAATAATTAAAATGTATTTAAAAAATAATCAACAATAATCGTATTTATTCAATTTTCATATTTTCTAAACAAAAAAAAATTAAAAAACAAAAAAAAATAAAAAAAAAAACAAAAAAAAATTTAAGCTCCGCCAGGATTAGAACGCGGTTGCTCGCCAGGTCTCAAGTGGCAAAGTTGATAAGTTCGACGCTCTAACCACCTAAGCTAATAGGCCATGCGTCAATTTAATGATCTAATCGGTTATGTGTTTAATGAAACCATAAGGAGAAAATAGTGTGTCGGAGCTCATGCGTATAATGGTGCTGGCGCGAACAGGACCGGTGCAAGTTTTTTATTGATCGAACAAATAGGTCGCACGATATTTCAATCATACATTTTTAGAGATGATTCTATACAAAAAACGATTAAAAAAATTTCAAGTTAAGGTAAATATGGTTCTGACAGTCCTTATTAAGAAAGATATGGCATAAAATATGAATTAGTTAATTTTCGGCAATCATTAGTACAGTAGTCATGAGATTTTGCTTGTGATTTTAAAAATTCTTTCCAGAAAAACCACGTGCTCCGGTTTTGACTACGTTTATTATTAAACAGCGAAATTATATACAAAAACTTTAATCCACAATCTAAATTAGGTACTATCACAAGAAAATCACTGTTACAATAATTAATTACTTAACCAAAAACTAAAATACTTTTTAGGTACCTACGTAACCAGAAAGGAGCTGGACCATTTATCCTAATATTGATTTTCTCTCTCCCTACGGTAAAACTTAAAACAATAACAAATTGCCTATCTACTAGGGTCGGTAACTAAACGTATATACATAATGGGCAGATTTTGTTTATACTTAACATTACACTCGCGCATTTAAATATAACTATGCATATAAATATTTACAAACAAAGATACTTTTCCAAACAGGCAATCATTAGTACTGTAGTCACGAGATTTTGCTTGTGATTTGACATCTTATTTGATAATATCATTTGCTACAACTAAATTTAATCTGGGGAGTGCAAAATAGGGCCCAGGAATATTATGTTCGATATTTTTTTACATTTTGTCAGCCGAGACTATGAGTCGTTAGACAGAAAACCTTTCATGTTACCATTTTCAATATAAATTAAAAAATTAAAAAATACTACTACATTTACTTGGTACATATTTTATTTTAATTTTGAAACCTTTTAAAAGGGTCTTTCGGTTCCATAATAAAAATTAGTTGCTGCTTACTAGAAACATTCTATATAGCCTAAACCAATTTATAGTTTGTTTTCGATCAATTGAATACAAAGATTTAAAGTTTTTAGTCGATGATAACATTCCACACCAGCACATTGCAAACCTATTTTATAAATAATAGGAATAAACTTGTAAATCATTAATTTGGTAGTTATCTCACTCATATGATTTTTTTGTTTATATGAATATTTCGATTTCTAAATATATTTTGGCCTTACAATACGAAGCGTTTTGTATCTACCACTTTTTTAATGAACGATGAATGTTGACAGGCGTGTACCTTTTTCGGAATAAGAGGCGTTTTAACGAAGGAAATGATTTTCGAACTATCTAGTTAGTTTTCGGAAAAATAGAAAACGTTTGAAGAAAGTTGTCAATAACAGTTTGTCGTTCATGTGTTTCATTTTAATCAGCTTTCATACTAAATTGCGTAGAATATTTTTCCGATTCAAAATCGAGATTCTCGATATTTCCACAGTTTATTTATAATAGCTTCTAAACTGGATTTATCTATCATTTTATATACTTTATAATATATGTTCATGCCCTACTTTTCACTTTATTAACAATTTTTTTTTAACATACTTCAAAATGGTAGGATATTCTCAATTCGTTGAAATATTTTTTTATGTATGTTGAGCGATAATTCTTTACCACGTTGCCCGATTTCTAGGATTCTTTTTGTTAGAAAAGGAAACAGTTTTATATACATTAAGTCAAGATCTGAAGATGGGATCCATAAGAAAATCATTAACATCTTTATTTTTAAAGTAGGTTTTTTTTTAAATTTCTTTAAACCTTACTGGTTCGAACGCCGTAAGGAATGAAGAAATGTAAATAATTGTTGTGCCAGCCAAAAAACGAAGAGGAAGTACCGATTAAAATATCGAGTGACAGAAGAGTTTCTAAGATTGTTGAGATCGGGTTTATGTTTTAAAATGCCTTAAAACCGATATCGATAATGTCTCCCCGTCGCTGGGCAGCCTGTATATAAATATACAGATCTCTATTTACATAATTATAATTCTTAGGTAGGTTTAGATTTGCAGACATAAATCTTGTAATAAATATAACAGCTGCCTAATACATTGATTACATTTTCATTAGCCAATGTAAAAATGTCTTTTATTGTACCTAGGATTTGACTAAACACTACACAAAACTAAAAATAAAATGCCACTTTCATCGTGTAATTAATGCCGCGTTTGAGAATCCACATCGGATGCATTTTTTACATCTCGAGCGTTTTTTATCCACATCGGACACATCTGTCCCATTACATTTACGTATACTGAATCACGTGATCAAAGATTTACTACTTACTACATCTCAGATGCATCCGATGTGGATTCTCAAACGCGGCATAAATAATAAACTACAAACGGTCCTGTAAGGGCAGCGTCATATAGCCTTGAAACACCGGATTTTAGTGCTATTGCCAGGTCAATATTCAATTTGTAGGTGAATCGCTTATTGAACATTAAAAATACGGTATTAATGACATTAATACGGTATTTGTATATATTTTTGGGAATGTAATTACACATAAATATTATTAGTTGATTATTTAAATGTTTATAAGTTATTTTGTGGCGATATTTCGTAGATATAAACTGTTTAAATAATATAATTTAAAAATTAATTAATTTAAAATTCTTTTCTGTTAGGTATGTTTAATATATTTGGCAACACTACAGGGACAAGTCATGCTTATTGCGCAAGCTTCTAGACACACTATTTTGCGATGTCAGGCGCAGAGACGCGTTTTTATGCACAGTAGGTTTCAATTTCTGCTTAAATGTTATGTTTATATTGGTCTTCTATATTATTTCTATGACACCAGCACACAATAGGTGCGTTTTAATCATCCGCTTCTGCTTCGGAATTGTCGGTTTTCTTGTTTTAATCTGACAGGTTAAAACGACTAGACCGACAATTCCGGAAGCAGTAGCGGATGATTAAAACGCACCTAATACATTTAATTAGACCCATCTAAGGTTATGTATTTCGATGCACTGAATTCGAATTTAAGGTCCATTTGGCCCGTACACCCTCAAACTTTTGAGTAAATTGTAAAAAACCGCCAGAAATGGCAAAAAATCGCGAAAAATTACAATGTACTCAAAATTTTAAGGGTGTTCGTGCTAAAGGGACCTAAAATTCGGATTCAGCGCATCGAAATACCATTCTTTTTTGTGTGCCGGGGTTATTAATTATCAAAAATACATAAATAGGTAAATCAAAGAACATTTTTAAAACGGGGGAGTCTACGTCCTCCGAGGATTACAAACTTAAAAACAAAATTACAAAAAGAAGCTGGATGAAAAAAGATAGCACCGAATATCATATCAAATGGATGTTAATTAAATAAAATGGTAACACAAATGGTAAACGCTTTTTATAAATTGCACATGTTTTTTGTTACTTTTAAATATAAATTCATACCCCATCGATCAGCATTAAAAAAATACACAGTATACACTGTGATACAGGTTAGTTATATGTATATGATTTAATGCCTGAGGACCTATAAAGATCTTCCCCGTATTTATTATGCAGTATGTAGTGTAAAACAGGTTAATTAAAGGTTTATGACAATACCTGTGGATTCATGCGGATCCTTTCCTGTTTATGCCCGACGCTGAAACATGAGTTTTTTATAACGTCAATGCTTAATTATAGTATGTTATGTACAAGGCGGTCGGCATAAAACCAATAAAATGATTCTCAAATAATCACAAAGGTAAACACCTTTATTTGCTTCGTACGTAACAGCAGCGCGAATTCTTTTTTTGTACTAATGGACTATTTTTGCCTATACTAACAATACAATTTTTAATAGAATTCTTAATGAAAAAGTATATATGTTAGTTTTAATAAAAGTATATGGATTTG